TTCCCATGTATGGTTCTTTTCTAAGACATTCATCTCTTCATTCATGGCTTGAACCTAATTATCATCCTTCAATGCATCTTGAACAAATGTAGGGGCTTTAATTACATCAATGACAAAGAGGAAACTCCAGTGTTGTATAAAAGGGTATTTAGTGGTCACAGAATGTGAAATAGGGTACTTAATACAAGACCAAGTTCCTTTTCTCATAGTAATGGGCAAGTTATCAAGGTTAGATTCACAATTATTTTTCAAGGATTTTTCTAAAGATTTAAGGGTGTTAGAAAAATGAAAACTTATCCCTGGTTTAGAAGATTGGAATTGTCCTTCGATCAGTTTAGGTTCCTTTTGTCTCCTCTGATATTGTATACGAAATAAACTCTTTAAATGATTAGTTTTTGGAGTTGACCCAGACTTGGGGACAACATTGCTCTCGTTAGAAGCAGTTTCAGAGACATCCATATGAGATGAGTTAGGAGAAGTATTATTATTAGACGGTTCATGGATAAAAGATGACTCAAGAGACTCAGCTTCGATAGAATTCTCCCCTTGAAGCTGAGGATGCAAGTAAAAGGATTGAGTTTCATCAAAAGTGATATCCATTGAGGTAAAATACTTTCGATTTGGAGGATGACAACATTGATATCCCTTTTTATTTGAAGCATAACTAATGAATATGCATTTAAAAGCTCTAGGATCTAATTTCCCACGAAATTGACTATGAATATGGACAAACACAACACATCCCTACTCGATTATGAAGACTAGAGAGAAAAGTAATAGATAGAAAGAAGGAAGACATGGACTCATTGGGACTTAGGTAATCTAAAACTCGAAAGGTAATCGATTAATAAGATAGATAATAATAAGGACATGATATAATTTGGAAGAGAAGTGTCCGTGTCACGTCAAGAAGATGCCTATTTTCTTTCAACAATGTCATTTTGTTGTGGTGTATCCACACATCTGAATTCATGAACAATACCATTGTCAAAAGGAATTTAGACATGTAATGATTGAAAGTAATGAGGGAGAGATTGATGACAATGTGAAACATGTCTCTTCAAGAGTTGATTTTGATGATGATTAAAGTTAACAACATTCAAGACTCAAGCAAGGCCAAAATATGATTTGATAAAGATTCTATTCAAGATTCAAGCAAACTCAAGATGATTCCTGAATACTAGATAGAGTCTTAGAATACTGGATATGGAGATACAAGTTGATGAAGTGGTATAAGGCATAAGCCTCAAAAGCACAAGTGTAATAAAATTTCGTAATATGATATTTTTCACTGTCATAATAAATTATGATTCATTAGAAATGGAAAAATGATTTTCTTTGTCATAATTAATTGTACTGCTAACATAATCAATTATGGCAGTTCAAATTTGAAAAATATTCGTTTTGAAGAATAAATGTTTTTGAATACATTCTGATTTTTTTTTCAACGAAAGTATTAATGACCAATGACTATTTTCTGATGTTATTTTCCTATTTAAATGAGTTTTTATGAAAAATAAAACACACAATTACAGAATTCGAAAATACAATTTATATTCAATCAAATTTGAAAAAAGAATTTTGAGCAAGACAATAAAGATATTTTACACCTTATGAGAAAACCCTCTTCTTTACTGTCTTTTATGCTTTCATTGTTAATCACACTTGTTCTTGGAGGTTGACATTCTACAGACTTCTACAATTTGTTGTCTCCATTACTCAGATGTGACTATTCTTATTTTATTACCTTCATCCTTTATGGGCTTAAGTGGTTGATTGCTAAATTTCCTATTTAGGGTTTAAGTAGTCATTGTCATTCTGTTGTATTTTTTTAGGGTTTCCTGTGTGGAAACTGTTCATCCCTTTGATTTGTTCAGGAAGGTGTTTTCATCCTTTGATTTGTTTAGAGGAGGTGTTCATCCCTAGTGGGATTCTAGGGAGGTGTTCATCCTTAATGGGATTCTAAGGAGGTGTGTTCATCCTTTGATTTGTTCAGAGGAGGTATTCATCTCTAGTGAGATTTTAGGGAGGTATTCATCCTTAGTGAGTTTCTAAGGAGGTGATTGTCTTTTGAATTAGTTTGTTTTTTGCTGAGTTGATTGTAATTTGTGAACTGAATTTAAAAGATAGTGAATTGGGGTCACTCTTGTGTTAAAAGTTGACTGAGAACTAGATGTAGAGTTGATTATACCCGAACCAGTATAAATCACTGTGTACTTTTCTTTTTCACTCCATTACACTCCTTACACCCCTTATTTTTATCTCTATCTTTATCTATCTTGTTGATATTTTATCTCTCTGATTATATTGCTTCCGCTTTATTTTTGTTCAATTTGATAATTAAAATTGAATTAATAAATATTGGACATCTTAAAATAAATTTTTAATTTGACATCTATTTTAATTTGTGTATCTATTCATCTCCTTTTAGATGTCATTTGTCTAACAATGATTTATATATTCTCTCATGTTATCGAGACGCAAACGTTTAATTATCTTTCAAAATTGTGTTTTTATCATATGGAAGAATTTGACAAATAAGATAAAAACTTCAAATTTTTATTTCATGAGCAAAATCCATATGACATGGGTACAATTATTAATAAAAGTGACAAACCATTTCGCACTAGATATACTGATGTTTGATACAAGTCCCCGAACCGAATAAAAGGATGAACACTCTATGTATTACTAGGAGAACATGTGACATGATGATGTTTTGCAAGTTAACATAATCACATTTAAATGATCCAATAGACTCTTTGAAAAAAGAAAAGAAAAAGGAAACATAGCCTTTAGAACAAAAAAAGATGGATGTCCCAAACGACGATGGAGAAGCCAAATTTGAAAGGACTCAAAAGTAGTGTAAGATTAGAGACAAGAGATAGTCAAGTTCTTACTAATACTATCCTTAGTTTTCAAGCTGTCAAGTAATACAACCCTTCCTGTTCCTTAACAATTCCAATTGTCCTCCTTGTGGCAAGATCTTGAAAAACACAATGAGTGGGAAAGAAGGTTACAAAACAGTTTAGGTCATGAGTAAGTTTTTTAATAGATATAAGGTTATTAGAAAGTTTTGGAGCATAAAGAACATTTTAAAGCTAAGGGATGGTAAAAGAGAGATGTTACCATGTCCAATTATTGGGATATGGATCCCATTGGCACTAGTAATGTGGTTACTAGAAAGAAAAACATATGATGTTAAGAAACATGATTGAAAAGTCATATGATCTGTCACACCAGAGTCTAGAACCCAAGACTCCTTACATTTCAATTGTAGAAACATTAAAAGAGGAATTGGAGTTCTTACCAGTTATGGTTAGAGAACAAGTATCAAAAAATGGTTTACTAATAAACTTCATCAGAGATTTCAATCGTTCAATTCCAACACGAAGTGCATGCATTCCTTCTTCAATTGCAAGGGATGAAGATGAAGGAGTCTCGCGAGTATTTTCAAAATCTGAAGTTTCCTGATAAGCCTTCTTTAGGAGTTGTCCTTTTAGTTCTATCAAACGATTGAGAACTTTCTCTTTTCCATGTAGCTTGAAACAAGTCTCCTTAGTATGACTAGATTTCTCTTACAATGAGAGCACCAACAATCATCTTTCCCTCTGAAGCTGAGTTTTATGTTTTCAGGATTTGAAGTTCCAAGTTTAGAGGCCTTTCTAGATAAGATGACAACTCCTTCAATGGAGGGCACATTCATCATGACCATTTGACGAATTTCTTCACCTCAGATAATGTGGATGACTTTAGAAAGAGAATGGAGTTTTTCCTTTCCAAGAATTTGTGCCTTAACAGGGTCATTTTCAGGATTCAATCTTGACAAGAACTTAAATATCCGAGATCATTTGTGGCAACATCTTGACTATTTTCAAGCCTAAAATTTTGATATTGGTCCAACTTAATCCTCAGTCCCTTCAATATTCCATAATATTCTATAATAGATAGAGTACCGTACTTAATACCAAAAATCTTGCTTTCTAACTCATAGCACGTGAAATGTCCTATCATATAAAATAAGTATTTGCAAGATCTTTCTAGATTTGACGGGCATCAGAATAAAACATATAATTTCTACTTATTTATGTAATCATCGATCCTCATCACCATGGCTCCCTTGACTATCCTCAGAATAAAACATTTATATAATTTCTAGATTTTACGGGCATCAGAATAAAACAGTTAATCCAACAACAACTCCAGTAATTATTCCGAAAAGTACTCCGACAATGGCTCCCTTGACTATTCCAGTGGTAGCAACAACAATGATAGAATTATGAATTGGGTACACTTCAAGCAAACCCATTAATCAAAGGAAATTGGTACACTTCAGGCAATCCTAAGATGAAACGGGTCTATAACAGTAAAAAAATATATATACAAAAACAAAACCCCAAAATAAGAAATTAAAAAGAAATAATTTGAATGAAAAATTTATGTTTTTTTTTTTTTTTTCTATTGAGTTATTCTAAAACCGTAATAGGGAATTCTAACCCTAAAAGAATAATTACAAGAAAATCTCTAAAATCTTCTTAACAACTTCTAACCACTTCTAATAATACATTTAATTTCCTAATCACTTCTAACCATATATTTAACATCTTCCTATCAAGATAAGGAATAGTTGATTGGTTTTACTATAAGTAGAATAAAAATATAATATTATTCAAAATGAGGTTTTACTTGATTTTAAACACACTCTTTTTTTTACTGTTTTTTAAGAGTTGAATTTGAGCACTTTCGTTACTCTTTATGCCTACACACTACACTACATTAACAAGGCCACAACCTAATAGAGAAATAGTCATTTAATAACTTTTATAATTAATTGACAGAAAATTTCGGTTACCCACTGGGCTACTCGCTTACATCCCACAACATGCTTGAATTTATTACCAGAAACGATGATGTGCTGGAAAATATCTTAACAGCGATATGTTCTAAAAGGGATAATTATTCCCAAACTACTGAAACTAATCTCTTTACAAAAATGAAAATCACATCTGGGAGGCTGAATTCAAGTAGAACAACTTCTTAGCAGCAGATGTTGTAACAACCTCAAGCCTTGTTTGATGCTCCAACTTTCTGCAGCAAGACATCACAAACTAGAAATAATTAAAGGAAGTCCTTACTTATTTTAAGATGCAAAAAAAAGTCATATTGGAAATTTAACAGTCAACAAAGCAAGCACTTCACACAAATAATATCCAAAAAAAGTAATTGTGAATGATACAGGAAATTCATGTAGCCTTATAAAGCCGCATTTCTCATATTTAACAGTATTGTAGAAACTCATGAACTGTAATCCAAGAGCTGCTTGGTTACTAGAATTGACTAAAGAAAAATCAGTTAAAAGTCGTAGATATTTAAATACTGCAAGGGATAGCTATCTTGATTGCAGCTATTGCTTACTATGTGTAAACAAATAAAAAAAAAATGAGCTTTATCAAGGAAAATTATGAGAAGCCAGCACAGGTACTGCTAACCCAAAGTGTAAAGAAACAGCCCTAAAACGCATAACAAGCATCCTATAAAATATAGAGGTAAACGTATGTACCTCTTCATTCTTGCCCTTGCCTCCAGTGAATAACTTGTAACCGCCATAGAAGAGTAAACCCCATCCAGTCAAAGAAAGAATTACAAACTGCAGAAGACTCGGTAAATTTTCAATATTTCAGCATAACCAAATCTCAGAGAAACACGAATATGATGCCATGAAGTGACCAAAATATTCACAGGTGGCATTGTTCAACCATCTACCCAGCCAGTAGTTCAATAGCAGATCAGTTCACGCAACATTACTTGAAATACTAGTTTTTGTGTGTGTGTCTCAGTGTCTGTGAGTGTCAATATGAAGAATTATGAGTGACTCACAAGTTTCCCTCAGAAAACAATTCAGAAAGTAGCACAAGTGTAAAGATGATACTATTACAGCAGAACGTTCTTGCCAATACGTATAATGACTCAGCATTCAGCATCTAAATATGGTCAATCTAGAATATCCTAGAGATAGACCGATAGTGTAAAAACTAAAACAGTCATTCAATCACAAACCACCTGTATAGTAAGTTAATTGACTTTTGCATTAATAACAATAAAAGTCATATCAACAGTGATTTGTGATGGGATGGCCAAGTAAAATAGTTTCACATTGTCAGTATACGAGCATTAAACTCATCTAAAACTAGCATATAAGAGAGTTTTCAAAATCCTAAAGTGTCTCACATGTTCTTCCTTCCACTTAGATGGACTCGTGGGGTCTTGCCAAAAGTTCACCTTTGGAGGTCCGTGATGATCTGCAACATGTCAATATGGACAAGTCATATTTAATTAAAGAGGGGAAAAATATTTCACTTCATTAATCACTCCAATTGTACCAGTGGTTTATTTCAATTTTAACCAATTTTTAGCACGTTAAGTGCCACAACCTAAGAAAGCATAAGCACATCAATCAAAAAATGACCAACCAATGATCTTTGCAAATATATAAGGCCGTTCCATTGAGCTACCACAGCATAACAACACTCAACAGTTTAACAGCACAATATATTGTAAAATAAAACAATCTTTCCATAACATGTTTGCCGTACTTGGAATATCACAAAAATTTGAAATTGTGCATTTCATTTTAGAATATCATAAAACGGCAGTGAAATTGGACACAAAAAAGGTGTACACAACAAACTTGCAACCTTGAAATGCCTATTTTACTTTATAAGATTAAATTCAAAGATTTGAACTTTTCAGCATCAATACAGAAAACCCTTTTGCCGCAAAGAACCAATCTATAATAATAATATGTAATCAAACATAAGGAGAGAAAGAGAGGGGGAAATACCAGCGGCCCCAGCCAAGCCGCGCCGATGAAGGAGCGAAGCCGTTTTTAACGTGGAGAGCTGAGTCATATTAGTGGCTCGATGAGCCGCAACAGTCCACGCCGCCATGCTTCGCTAGTGAAGCAACCACTGATAGATGATTCTGAGCTTTACAGCAAACGCAGATGTCAATTGCCAGACCGACGAGTCGAAATCGTGCCAACGCTCCAGCTTTTATATCTGCCAGAATGATCACTTCCAGAACAAAAAAGAAAACTCAAATTTTATTCATTAAATAATTAGTTTTCATATTAAATCACGTTTATTAAATTTTATACTCATTTATTTTTATTACCATATTTTAACACCTTTTAAACTTGCTATTGATTACTCATTAAAAAAATAATATGTTTTTATATTTCTTTTCTTATTTTATTTATTTTTTATTTCCAGATTTCACCTTTTTTCTTTCTCACAATTCTTATTCATCATCGCAATTTTATCTTATACGTCATTTTCGAACTATTTATTTATTTTGATATTTGTATGTCACCAGTCTTCTCTTATATGTTATTTTTAGATTATTTATTTTGATCCTTGTTTTTAGTCTTTTGTGACTTCTCACTTATTATCTTTTTAACTTTCACCGTTGATCTCATTCTTTATCCATCTCAATCGTATAGTGAATGTTTTTGTCGTTGCACAACCACTATTTTTGTTATTGCTACAATTTGGAGGGGTTCTTGCGGTTGTTGCCTCCCCTTTGCCTCGCTGTCGTTGTCTTAGGCATTTTACATGTTTGTCTGGTTTTTATGGTAGTCAATCTCCTTGTTTCATGATTGAGTTTACATTTAGGTTTTTTCGATGATTGAGGATTAGGTTTAGATTTTCTTGTTTTTGAGGATTGGGTTGAGGTTTTGGCTATAGAGGGATATGTTTAGTTTTGGTTGATGTAGGTTTAGATTAGGGTTACTTTGTTGTCGATTTAGATTTAACTTCAATTTTTGTTCATTATTGAGATTGCTTTCTTATATAATTATTTTTTAAGATGAATGAATAAATTTACAAGTAAATATGTGATAATAAAATGTAGTTAGCTAGAGCTACACCATTAAGTATGTGTTGCTCTATTAGTAAGAAATGTTGGATGTTTATGATTTCAATTAGTAAATTCAATTATTAGATATTATGATTGATGTATGACTTTTTCTTGTTGTATATTGTTGACCCTTAACAATCAATAGGAGTATATGTTTGACATAAATTTTATGATATTGATTGTTAGATTATTTTTAGAATATTGTCATGAAATAGTTGTGTGTATATATTAGATATGTAGTAAATGTTATCGTAAAGTAAATAAATTTTATAATATGAACTTAAATTAAATAAAGTTTTATGTATTTGCATTTTGAAATAGAAACACATGAAAAACATACATAATGAATGAGAAGGAGAAGAAAAATCAAAACTGAATAATATTGAAGGGGAAGAAGAATCAAAACTACATTGTGAATGGTCAAATATGTACTTTTGGCTTAAAGCTCATCCAAGAACTCAGTTAAAAATTTTGTGGTCAAAGCACCATAGACTTCTTATTTAAGTAAAAGAAAAAAGGCCACATAAGTGTTAGTAGATAAAGTGTAGATTAATTATTTTGTTAACTTTAGTTGTTTTGGCCCAAGAAATATATTAATTTCTATTTTATGTTTTGATTTTAAACCTTTATATTGTAAGTTTTGTCGCCTCAGATGGTGTGATATTGAACATTACTCTTTATAACATAGTCATAATATATATGTTCCCCGATTATATTGTTCACCTAAGCATGATGGTGTGATATTGAACATTACTCTTTATAACATAGTTATAATATATATGTTCCCCGATTATATTGTTCACCTAAGCATGTAAGTTTATTTGGGTAAGCAAAAATGCTATGTATGAAAGGTGTAAAACAAAATGTCATATTCAGCTAATCATATAAAGTCAAGTGGTTAACCATATGTCATAGGAAAAAAACCCAATTATTCTTTAACATGTTTCATGATAGACATAGTATTCATATTGAAAGTAATGGAGGACAATGTGATCATAATATGGTAAGATGAATAATACTAAAACCTCACGTTCAATTAACAATATAAAGTGAATGGAGTAACCATATATGCAAGGTATAAAAAAAATACAAAGTTCTTCTTTCACACGTTTCCTAATAGCCAAATGATATAAATCATTTTTCATATTGATAGGTATGAAACACAATGTGATGATAAGATGAGAACATAATAAAAAAACATGTCATGTACAATTAACCATGTAAAGTGTCATGATAAATTGAGCAGATAAAAAATGTCATTATCAGATAAAAAAACAAATACCAATTTGTTCTTTGAGATGTCTCGTAATAGACACATTATACAAGTCATTTTTCAAACTAAAAGGTATGAAACTTAATGTAATGATAAACTTAGCATATAAATGAAATAAATGGCATTGTCAAATAACCATGTAAAGTGAAGGAGATGACCATGTAAACTTAGCATATAAATAAATCAAATAACCTTATTTAGTTAACCATATAAAGTTTAGGGGTAACCACATATCGTAAACTCAACAAATAAATAAAACAAAATATCATTGGCAGTTAACCATATAAAGTCAAGGAGATAATTATATATGTCAGGAATGAATAAACGTAGCATATAAATAAAACAAAATGTCATGTTCAATTAATCAGAGGGTAACCACAAATGGAAAACTTAGATAAATAAAACAAAATTTCATTGTCAGTTAACTACATAAAGTTAAGGAGATAATCATATATGGTAGGAATGAATAAACATAAAATATAAATAAAATAAGATGTCTTGTTTGGTTAACTAGATAAAGTTCAGAGGGTAACCACATATCATTAATTTTCGCTTGAGCAAAACATAACCTAAGAGCATGTTTCTCATTCTAGAGATTCTCGCTTGAGCGTAATTTTCATCACTCGAGCGACTTGTCCTTCGTTTGAGCAAGTAAACCCTCGCTTGAGCAAAATTGAACCCGAGAGTCACCAAAGTTGCAACTTTTCTCGCTTAATCGATGCATGTTTAGCTTGAGCAAAAACTATGCAGATTGCTTCCTCTCTTGCTTGAGCGAGAATAGCCCTGCAATGTTGCTTTGCTTCATTTACAAGTCAAATTTTCTGCTCTTCTAATTTCTTCCCTAATTGATTGGTTTCTTTCTAATTTCTATACTTAATCCTACACAACAAAAGGTATACACAAATTATTCTATATTGAGAAAATTCCTAATAAAAATTAAGGCAAAAATGTTGTTAAGCGGTCATCAAAAACTCATATTTTTAGTAAATTTTGTCACTTAACATAACTATTTTCTTTATTTAGCAATTGAAAACATTTTAGTAAACCATAATTAATATGACCTAACATACACAACCATTAAAACTTAAATGGTTAGTCTTTCACAAATACATTGGGAGTTCTTAAATGGTTAGTCTTTCACAAATACATTCGGAGTTCTTAAATGGTTAGTCTTTCACAAATACATTGGGAGTTTTATGAGGAATTTAGTTTCTATTCTATTATGTTTTTTTTATTCGTAAAATAATTGTTATTAATAATTAAAATATTTTCAAAAATGATTAATTTCTTACCGACTAAGTTCATGATAGTCTTTTTAAAGAAAATTAATGAGGTTGACCAAAAATATCTACATAAATATGAGTATTGGAATAAACGGTGACTACTTTGTACTTAAATGATTACCTTCCTATTACATTTGATGAAATATTTAAAATGTGTGAAGATTAATATCATTTCTTCCCACATTTTGTTTCCTTTAATGAATAACAATTAATATAATCTAAGGTATATAAGCATTAAACATTAATTTGTTAGTTGTGTTGAGAATATTACTTTATTATCTTTTATTTAAATTAGGTATTAAGAAATTTTATTATCTTTTAAGAGAGAAGGTAAAAAGATATTAGGTTATTATTTTGATTTAGACAGTTATGATTGAGATATTATTGACATTTGATATTTTGTAATATTTTTACTCTATATATACATAGAGTATATGAATAGAAATATACCCACATAATATATATCAGAAATACACATATACAAAACCCCTAAAATTACCAACAGTGGTATCAGAGTTTTGGTTCGATACAATGGAAGGAGAAATTTTTTTTCACAAGTCGTTATTCCAATTTTTTATGGCGAAAGTTATGACTTATGGGTTGTGAGAATGCAATTCTATCTTGGAGGATTGAATGTATGAGAAACTGTAGAAGAAAATTATATTGTTGATCCACTACCTGAAAATCCCACCATAGCTGAAATGAAATTTCACAGAGAAAGAAAAACGAGGAAGGCAAAAGCTAAATCATGTCTGTTTGCTGGTGTTTCACAAATGATCCTCATCATAATCATGACGCTAAAGTCACCCAAAGAAATTTTGGATTATTTGAAATATCAATATGAAGGGGATGAGAAAATTCGAGGTATGAAAGTTCTAAATTTGATAAGGGAATTTGAGATACAAAAGATGCAAGAGTCTCAAACAATTAATGAATACTCAAACAAATTTTTGGGTATTGCTAACAAAATAAAATTGTTAGGTAAGGAATTTTCTAATTCCAGAATAGTTGAGAAAATTTTGGTAACTGTGCCAAAGAGATATGAAACATTTATTGCTTCATTGGAAAATACAAAGGATTTGTCTAATATTACTTTGGCAGAAGTGCTACATGTTTTACAAGTGCAAGAACAACGAAGATTGATGAGAGGAGATCATATTGCTGGTGAAGGTTCTTTACTATATCATGATGAAGGTTCTCTCCAAGCCAAGAACAATAAAGGTACAAAATCACGAGTCATTTCTGTTTGTCCTTATTGCAAGAAAAATAATCACACACCCAACAAGTGTTGGTGGAGGCCTGATGTGAAATGTTGAAAATGTGGTCAATTTGGGCATATAGAAAAAAATATGCAAATCAAAATGTTGAATTATTGGCAAACGTACCAAATTTATCAATTGTAGTATAATATTTCGATTAAATAAAAGTCGATTTCACGAGGAACGATTTCAATGGAAATTCCCAATTATACGCT